CAAACAACCTCCAACCCCCAACATCTACCTTCCCTGCCCTTGCACTCAGTCAATTAAGTGCTGCCCAAAGAGGCCATCCATTTTACAGGTAGTGCCACAAGACGTAAAGGGTCACCGGTCTCAGTCATCAGACACTCTCCCCTGTGGTATCTCATTCTCCCATCCTCCACGACTATTTTCTTTTCTCGTTTTCTCCAAGTCCCGCTTCTCCTTTCACTCGCAGCAGATGACCTTCCCTCCTGCATCAGAAAAAAAAGAGATGGAAACTACTTCAGCCTTCTCCCACCAAACCGGCAGCCCTGTTTGTGCCAGCACCCACTCATTTGTTCCTCTGACCCTTCCGTGAAGCGGAAGATGTGTCCTCTTCTTTTCTAAAGCCTCTGTCCCTTCCCTGGCTGGGGCCTCATTCCCTGCCCACTACCGAGGCATCTCAGCCTGTGAAGCACCCTCCTCTGCTCTGTGTCTTCCATCTCTTCTTCTCTGCTGACCCTTCTGATCAGCACTGAGGTATGTGGACGCCTCTCCCCACACGCCGTCCACTGACCAGCTCCCCCACGTTCTGCAAAACCCACCTTCCACTTTTCTCCTCTGCACAGCCGAATTTCTCGAAGTTGTCACCATTCCATCCTTCCCATCTTCCTCTGCCGACACTGGCTTGTGTCACTCTACCACAGCGTCTGCTTCCACCGAGGGCACTAATGGACCCCAGGTTGCTAAATCAGACCCTTCTAATCTTTTAGTCCTTATTTTTCCTCTCAAGTCACTTTCTTTCTATGACACCACATTCTTATTTTCTTCTGCCATAAATACTGCTGTCCCCAGGACTCCATCCTAGGTCGTTTTATCTTCCTACTCTACACAGGAAAGTCTGCCAGGGTCTAGAGGTGCCTCAAATCAAGAAAGTCCAGACCTGACCTTGTCTTCTCTGTCAAACCTGTTCCTCCCACCAGTGCTCCCCATCTCAGTGAATAGCAGCAATACCCCATTGCTTAAGCCAGAAACCCGGGATTTATTCTTTACTCCCTCTTCCCGTTTCCCAAAGCACTCAACTGACTCACCAAGTCTTGCTAATTCTGTCACTTCAATGTCTTCAAATCCCTATACTTTTTTCATCCATCCCCATTGCTATTGCCCTAGCCATGTGATCACCATCTCTCATTTGGATGATCACAACAAACTTCTAAATGGTTTTCCCTGTGTTTGGATGAGTTTTTTTCTTTAAATTTTTTTTTTTTTTTAAACATCATGTAAGTCTAAAGGGAGGATGAGTTTTTTTCAACCTTTCTTCCACTATCATCCCTTCTGGAGCATTTTAGACTTTTTCCCTAATTGTCCCCTCCTCCCATGAAATTATACCACAAAGGTACTGTATAGCTGTGTATGCATACATATATCCATTTATATATCTATCTATATGTGTGTGTGTATGTGTATGTGTGTGTGTGCTTTGTATATAAAAAGAGTAAAATATTTTTCCTTACCCAAGAACCAATTTTCATCACCTTTAGGGGTAATATATTGATTCCATTGACAATGAATAATTTATACTTACTACTCTTTAATTTGTTCTCCACACCATAGCCAGCATGATCTTTAAAAAACAAATCTGATTGTGTCATTTCTCCATTGAAAACTCTTGAGTGACATACCACTGCCCTTAGGATAAGATTCAAATCCTCAACAAGAGCTGCAACACTGTGAAAAATCTGATCCATACTCTTACCTTTCCCACTCACACCCTACATTTCAGACTTATCTAGCGTTTTCTCATTTCTCATTTTCTCTTGCCTCTGACTTTCTTTACTTGGACTACAGTACTCTTCCCTCCCCTGTACCCATGCCCAGGTTACAGTTTACAGTCATTCCAGGTACCCCTGGGCTAGCTTGGGATCCCACAGCTTGCTAGAAGTGTCCTGTTCGTCCCCTCTCAAACATAATGCATCATAATTTCTGATTTAATGTCTCTTGTCTGTGCTAAAGAGTAAATTCTTCAAAGAAAGCTGACCACTTTATCCCCAGTTCATATCATAGTGACCAATTTATAATAAGCTTAAATATTTGTATAAGAAAAGTTTGCATAAGAATCAATACAACCATATATGTTAGCTTTATTAACACTTTTCCCCAAGAAATACTTTGCAACTTAAAAAACCGCCAATCCTGACATATATACACACATATATATACGTGCGTATGTGTGTGTATGTATATTCCCAATTATGTTAAAAAAAAAGACTGAAGGAAATTTCTCAAATTTCTTTTTGGGTGGTAGCATTATCACTATTATTGTATATGTTCCATATTTTCTATGCTAAGTTTTTCTTACATTTATGGCAGCAGAAAGAAGAAAATTAAGTAAAAGTTACTACTGTTAAAAAAAACCCCCGTCGGTGCCCGGCGCCATGGCTCATGCCAGTAATCCTAACACTCTGGGAAGCCGAGTTGGGAAGATCGTTCAAGGTCAGGAGTTCAAAACCAGCCTGAGCAAGAGTGAGAACCCATCTCTACTAAAAATAGAAATTAATTGGCCAACTGATATATATAAAAAAAAATTAGCTGGGCATGGTGGCGCATGCCTGTAGTCCCAGCTACTTGGGAGGCTGAGGCAGAAGGATCGCTTCAGCCCAGGAGTTTGAGGTTGCTGTGAGCTAGGCTGACGCCATGGCACTCCAGCCCGGGCAAAACAGTGAAACTCTGTCTCAAAAAAAAAAAAAAAAAGAAAGAAAAACCCTCTAGGATCTAAAAATGGTATACATACCAATGTGCACAGATCCAGCATATTTACTACCACTATGAACCAAGACCTATACACTTCCATCCTCCTTATCCCTCTCCTGCAAAATTGGTTTGCAGAAGCAGTGGCTTTGGCAACAGTAAGCCCTTCTCCCAAATCCTTTGGAAGAATTTTGAGATTGTATAGGGAATACTCAAAACAAAATCTGGGAGCTGGGTGTAGCAGCCCTCTTCTGGGGAAATAAGAAAATGCAACCACCCCAAAGGATTTTGGTTGGATTAGGTGCACTCAAAAGGTATTTTCCGTAAGCAAGCAAGTAAATACATACATACATACCGAGGAATAAATTTAACCAAATAAGTGGGTGAAAGATCTCCATCCACAAGGAAAACTGTAGAAAGAAATAGAAGAGGACACACAAGAAATGGAAAGATATCCCATACTCATGGATTCAAAGAATTAATGTCATTAAAAGGACCACACATGTAAATTGCCCAAAGCAATCTACAAATTCAATGTGATCCCTATCAAAATATCAATGACATTCTTCACAGAAATAGAAAAAGCAATCATAAAATTCATATGAAAGCACAAAAGACCCCAAATAGCCAAAGCAATCCTGAACAAAAAGAACAAAACTGGTGCCAAACGACCTGATCTCAAAATATATTACAAGGCTGTAATAACCCAAACAGCAGGATATTGATATAAAAACACACACACAGACTAAAGGAACAGAACAGGGAACCCAGAAATAAATCCACGTATTTACAGCCAACTGATTTTTGACAAAGGCACCAAGAACATACATTGGGGAAAGGCCAGTCTTTTTAATATATAGTGTTGGGAAAATTCGATACCCATATACAGAAGCATGAAACTAGATCCCCATCTTTCATCATATAAAAATAATAAACTAAAAAAAAATTAAATACTTAAATATTAAGACCTTAAACTGGAAAACTGCTGAAACAGTGGAGAAGTGATACAGGAAATTGGCCTGGGCAGATTTTTTGGGTAAGACCTCAAAAGCACACGCAAGAAAAGCAATAGACAAATGGAATTACATCAAGCTAAAAAAACTTCACAGCACAGCAAAGGAAACAATTAACAAAGTGAAGACACACCTACAGAATGAGAGAAAATATTTGCAACCTATCCATCAAATCAGGGATTAATAACCAGAATATATAAAGAACTCAATAGCAAAAAAACATATAATCTGATTTAAAAATTACATATTAATAATAAAAAGTTTTTGTTTTTTTTTTTAAAAGAAAGGTATTTGCCGAATGAGTGGACTGTGGGTTTTCCTTTTGTCTGCTTAGACAGCAAAAACCAATTTCTCTATTTAGCCTGGAGGATAGTAATGTGGAGACCTACTGGTCTGAATCTTAGGAAACCTGGGTTCATTTTCACTTTCATGAAGAATGTAAAAATACACTTCTGGGAGGCGGGGGATACATTGATTGACTGCTACATGTTTAAAAATATTGAATGCTTAAACTAAAAGGCCATTTTGGAAGTTGAACCATAAATGTTTTCCATGTTTATTTTTATAAATATAAATATTGAGTATGTGTTTAAAATCTCAGTTTTCTAATCTGTAAAACTCAGCGTAATAGTACCTCATAAGTCATTCTGAAAATGTTAAAAAGATGCAGTTATTTAGCACAGTGCTCAACAGAGAATAAATGCTTAATAAACGACAGTCATTATTTTTAGCTTTTACTCAGAATTCATAATCTTTGCAGTAATCATTTTACCTACTCCAACTACCTCCTTCAGTGGTTACAATAAAGGACTGTAAGGAAACTAAGGAAACTCAGAATTTGCATCTAGGAAAAGTACACATATATGTGTGTATGGTTTTAAAAAGAATGATATGTGGCTAAAAAAGAAAACACTAAAACATAAACTTTAAGATGTATTCACTAAAAATTTATTAAGATGTTAATGTTTCACATAGTTGGTTCAATATTTCTTGTGCAACTTATTAAATCCTGAGTTGCCTCTCAATAATCCAAATGTCTACAATATAGACATTTGTACAAACTACTATACTTACTGATGTTTAACATAATTAGACTTCTATTACTTCCATTTGTCAGATAAATAAAACACTAATCTTTCAAAGTTGTCACAACTTTTGGAGTTCACAAATTCCTATTTCTTTAGTTTTTATTATTACATTTTAAATATTCTTAAAAGAAGCAGCTGAAACTCTATAATCAAAATCTGACTGAACCAACACTAAGAAACAGAGTAATGGAAGAAGCTCTTTTATTCATCAGAGAGCAAAAATACAGACTATATTTATTTATTTTCCATCAGAGAATATACTTTGTATTTGAAGAAATAAATGATTAGTTGTCGGGAGTCGCCTTTGGAGAATGGTCAATAAGTGCCTTATCAATGGTTGGATATTGATACCAGGGTCCATCTCCTCTCTGACGCATTAATTTTCGCACTTCCATTTCCTTTAACCTATAATAAATGGAACAGCAATATAAGTGATTCCAGCACTTCCAATTACAAATTTAATGGATTATCTCCATAAAGAACAACCACTTGAGAGATTCTTGCTTTTATGTAAAGTATAATATCCCTCCACAAATCCATGTATAGGCATATATTAATAACTGGGATATATCTATAAGCAAAATTTGGACTTATATTAAAACATCGCTTGAATTGATAATCTGTTCTCTCCTTTACTGCGCCTGCTGCTCTTTGTCTGGACAGATCATTTTCACCTGAATTGTGACCATGTGTTCCTGTCTTCTCACCTTTTAGATGCTAGGAGAGTCATTTACAGAATGCCCACTATTATGACCATATGTTGTGCCAAGTGCTAGGCATTAAAAAGTGATAAACTTTCTTGGAGTTCACATCCACTGTCTATACTGGCAGCCCACCACCATTAGGAAAGAAAACTTCTTGAGAGCAGAAAACGGAATCTTATTCACCAGCATTATACTGTGCCTAGTCAACATCAGATACTCAGTCAACATTTGTAAAGAAAAACAAGCAAGAAAAACCAGAATTAAGAAAAACACACCCTAACTCTAAGATCTACTTACTGTCCTTGTCCTCCTTCACAAATTAAATAAATTCTCTTTTATAGAGATGCTTTCCCTCTTCCACGTCTAAGCCTTTACACAAACTACTACACATTCCTGAAGCAGTCTTTTGTCCATCAAACCTTTTACTTTCCATTTTTATAAAACACATATTAACTTTTTCATATGACTGGGAATTTATCAGTTAAATAAGTCACTTTATTAACCTTAATAAAGGTTCACCAACCCTATGAGAGATTATACACCTTTATGATGGTATATTTCAAAGAGTATGTTTATTTATATATTTTTTAGGATTAAATATCATCTTCTTTCTTTTATACTCTTTATAATTATCCAAAACTTGAATAATTAAAATATTCATCAATAGGGGACTCTTTAAATAACTTATGGTTCTCCCATATAATAGACTCCTATGTACCTATTAAAAAGAAAAGAATCAGGCCAGGCACAGTGGCTCATGCCTGTAATCCTAGCACTCTGGGAGGCCGAGGTGGGAGGATTGCTCGAGGTCAGGGGTTCAAAACCACCCTGAGCAAGAGCAAGACTCCATCTCTACAATAAACAGAAAGAAACTAATTGGCCAACTAATATATATATATACAAAAAAAAAAAAAATGAGCCGGGCATGGTGGCGCATGCCTGTAGTCCCAGGGAGGCTGTACTTGGGAGGCTGAGGCAGCAGGATTGCTTGAGCCCAGGAGTTTGAGGTTGCTGTGAGCTAGGCTGACGCGACTCACTCTAGTCTGGGCAACAAAGCGAGACTCTGTCTTAAAAAAAAAGAAAATAATCAAATCCAGGTATGGCATGAAAAAAATATTGTTATGTTAAAAAAAGCAAAATATAAAATGGGTATGTGTAGCACCTCCCATTTCATTAAAAACCAGTAAGTTAGCCGGGTGCAATGGCCTGCACCTGAAGTCCCAGCTACTCAGGAGGCTGAGGTGAGAGGATCACTTGAGCCCAGGAGTTCAAGTACAATCTGGGCAACACAGTGAGATACTGTCTCTTAAAAAAAAAAACAAAAAAAAACCAACAACAACAAAAAAACAATCCTCTAATCACAATGAGAGATGGTAGAAAAGAAAAAATAAGTAAATAAATAAAATTTTTAAAAATTTAAAAAATAATTAAAAAAAGAAAAAGAAAAAAAAACCCAAAAACCCAAATCCCCCAAAACTATAAGTTACCACTTGTGAATGAATATGTGTATATATATATACCCATAGAATTTTAAAAATATGGAGGACTAAAAATAATAGTTATCTCAATTATGGGAGACAGTCTCTTTCTATTTTATATATTCCTTTAATGCTTTGGTTTTCCAAATATCTAAACATAGACTTTTTAAAACTACAGGTACTTCCCATCCCATACTAACACTGGCATCTTTCCTTTAGAGGTATAAGTTAGGGGTTTTTTTATTTTGTTGGTTTGCTTTTTCTTTGTTTTGTTTTGTAACTGTTTAGAATCTGTCTGATAGGATCTGGTCCTTTAATTGGAACTCAAAAGTATATGTCTGGGCCGGGCGCGGTGGCTCACGCCTGTAATCCTAGCACTCTGAGAGGCCGAGGCGGGAGGATCACTCGAGGTCAGGAGCTTGAGACCAGCCAGAGCAAGAGCGAGACCCTGTCTCTACTAAAAATAGAAAGAAATTAGTCGGACAACTTATATAGACACAAAATCTAGCTGGGCGTCGGTGGCCGCATGCTATACGTCCCAGGTACTTGGGACGCCTGAGGCCGGAGGCCTCGCTGCTCGCGCCAGGCGTCTTGCAGGTAGCTGTGGGCTAGGCCTGCACTGCCACTAACTCTACGCCCTGGGCACAGAGTGAGACTGTGTCTCAAAAAAAAAGTATATGTCTGATGTAGAAAAGGTCTTATATTAACTCAAGTACCTCCGCGCTGGCTCGCTGCTTCCACATGCTCCGTTTAATACTTAAAGACAGTCGTCCATAATGTCATCCTACGTACTCCCCCTCGCATGTAAACATTCCTAAGGAAATACACCCGCCACATCATCAGACTTTTTCATCATTTATTTTTTAATATCACAGCAGTTTTGATAAAGTACAAAATTTAAAAAAGAATGAACAGAAAGCCAGCCACATGGTAGCGTTAGGCCAGAGCAGAGGATCGGAGCTGACTAGATCCAAATGGCAGCGGCACAGAGAGGACTTTTCAGTGTGATCGACCACACCTACCTTAAATTGTTACCTGATCGGTCTACACACGGTATCCCATACCTTTTGTCAAAAACCCCTTAAACCTACGGGTGCTCATCACTGCATTGTATCTACTCACACACTTGTATCTCTACTCCTCAATGCCCAACGATATAGCTCTCAGTCAGGATCAATTTAAAGTACTAAAGGTGGCCGGCGCTGTGGCTCACTCCGCTGTCTCCTAGCTCTTGCGGAGGCCCGAGGCGCGCGGCGGATTGCTCAAGGTCAGCGAGTCTCAAACCAGCCTGAGCAAGCACGCGAGACCGTCTCCCCTGACTATGAAATAAGAACGAAATCTAATTGGCACTGATACTAGTATACCATCAGAAAGACAAATTACGCCGGGCATCCCGGTGCGCACCTGCCCTTCAGTCAGCTACTCGGCGCAGGCTGAGGCAGAAGGATCACTCAGCCAGGAGTCTTCAGGCTTGCTGTGAGCCTACGGCTGCGCCACGGCGACTCACCTCTACCCTGCGACCACAACGTGGAGCACTCCTAATGCTCCAAAACAAATACTAGAAAAATAACAAAAGTACTAAAAGGAAACATAAGTGAACATTTAAAAAAATAATTTTGGAATTTGTATGTATTTACTTATTTAATCTGAAAACATAAAAATACTTCTATGCTATAAAAAATTCTACATTGCCAAAAGACAAACAACTAGCTGGGAAAAATATCTGCAACAAAACCAAAAAGAGCTAATTTAATTATGTAAAAATCAGTAGAAAAATTAGAGAAAATAATGCACACAACTAATAGATATATGAAAAAATAATCTTACAAAGAAATACAAAATCAAAATGATGAGATAACATTGTTCAACTACTAGATCAGCAAGAACATTTAAGTTTGATAAATTGTATTAATGAGAAACATGGAAAACTGAGACACAGAAACTGACAGAAAAAAACTGGTATAACTTACTAGAGAAGAGTTTGGTAATATTCACCTAAAATTTAAAAGCATATGTTATTTGGCTTATCAGTGTCACTACTAGAAATTTATTTTCTACATATATTGCATGAGTATACAAAAATATATATATGAGGATATTTACCATATATTATATATGCTATGCATAAAAGCAAAAATCTCAGAAACAACCTAAGCATCAACAATAAGGGACTCAGGGCTGAGCACCGTGGCTATAATCCTAGCACTCTGGGAGGCCAAGTGGGCGGATCCTTTGAGCTCAGGAGTTGAGACCAGTCTGAGCAAGAGCGAGACCCCTGTCTCTACCAAATATAGAAAAAATTAGCTGGGCATGGTAGCGCATGCCCAGCTATTTGGGAGGCTGAGGCAGAAGAATTGCTTGAGCCCAGGAGTTTGAAGTTGCTGTGACCTAGGCTGACTCCATGGCACTATAGCCCAGGCAACAGAGTGAGATTGTCTCAAAAAAAAAAAAAAAAAAAAATACTGCAATCTTAAAAAGAATGGGATATATGCTATTATGAAAAGATCACTAAGCTACATTAAGTGAAATAAAGATAAGGGGCAAAATAGTGTTTATAAACAGATTCTACTTGTATTAATATAATTTAAAATGATATATAAAATATATTTTTTGACATGTAAAGTTTTTTCTAGGAACATATAATAAATTGTTAAGTAAAGGTCTCTTTTAAGGATGAGACTAGGTGTGGGAGGGAAGGAAATTGTTGAGGGGTGGGGAATAGGGTTGCCCTACACATAAAAGAATATTTTAAAAAGAATTTAAAAAATTCCTTTTAATCTGACAGATATCTCCTAACAGTATATCCTTGCCACCAGTTCATAATCTTCACTCTGAACAGGTAATTCTCTTTCCTAGTTTTATCCTTTCACAGACAGCATCCTATAGTGCTGAAATAGTTTATTAATTTTTTTCTTGTGATCTGCGACCCTAGGAAAGACTTTCTTCCCATGCACCCCTTCTTTTGTCCTACCGTAATTCAGCCTTTTCACCTTCAATCTGAAGGATAGCCATTGTTTTTTCATAATTCTTCTCAGGACAATCATAGAAAGTACGTGCGATCCATCTTGATATAGGATGCTACAAGAAAAATTTGTTTAAAATTAGTCTATTTCTCAACAGTACTTTGCTTTTCTAGTTGACTGTTCTTTAAAACGACCCTCTCAGTAAGATACCAATAACACCTACTATGTGCCAACTGCTTCATATATATATAGAGTGATTTTAATCCATTAGATGGATACTATTTTTATCCCCATTTTAGAGATGAGAAAATTGCACAAAGTTATACAGCTAATAAGTGGCAATGCCTGGACTCAAACCAGGTCTGTTTGACTCTAAAGCCGGAGTTCTTTCTCATTATACTATGCTGAATATGTTGCATGGCAGATTCATGAGCCAAACCCCAGTTCTGGGGATCCAAAAATGGAGCTTTTTGCAACAGTCAGCATGAATAAATTAATTATATGCTTCACCATAAGATTTAATAGAGAAACGTTGCTTTTCCTTTTTTTTTCTTTCTGGTGTTTTGTTTTGATTTATTTATTTATTAATTGATTGAGACAGAGTCTTACTCTTCCTCAGACTTGAACTCCTGAGCTCAAGCTATCCTCCTGAGTTGGGCTCTCACAGTGCTAGGATTAAGGCATGAGCCATTGTGCCTGGCCAAGCTTCAGTTTCTTCATCTCTAAAGAGGGAATAATAATAGTACCTTTTACATGAGAAAATATTTGTAAAACACTTAGCACAGTGCCTACTACACAGTAGGTGCTCAATAAATGATAGCTAGCATTAATATTAGTAAAAATTTTCCTAAAGCTATAAATTTAGAATAAACTGTTACTCTTGCTATATTAAGAACACACTGCAGAGCCATTCTTTAAAAAACTATAAAGCTTAAATTAAAAATTGAAGGAAAGTACCAAGAGTAGTTGTTTGTAAAAAGTAAGCAAAAAATGTATCATCTATTTATATCAAAAATTAAATAAAAAACTATATCATAATTGCTGAATTAAGGTCTTAACAAGAGACTTAACAGAAAGTATACAAACCCTGTAATACTCCCAATGTTCTGGAATATAGCCTTCTGGAATTTCTGCTAATTCAGCTTGACCTAATAAGAGAAAATGGTGATGTTCAAGTTAAACATTAGGAGTTTATAATATTAATTCTTCACCATTAAAGTAAGAAATCAACTTCTTGTGAACCTTGTTTTTAAGGACCTTTTCTTCTATTTGTACCAATGAAGATGTCTAATATTTTAAATTCACTTTAATGTGACTGAAAATCAGTTTATTCCTTCAATATTTTTAGACATCTTCTATGTGTAAGGTATTATCTACAGTCATAGTATGAGAGTTTCTCATTTTGTTTTATATAAGATATTTTTGTTTTTATATAATTTAACAAGATATAATAAAAATATTATTTCTTCTGGTCTCCCTTATACCTACCAGACAAAATATTTTAGGATTCAAGGTGTTACTATGGAAGTACTTTGAACAGAATTTCCCATGACAATCTAATGTTTACTGTCATTCACATCTTCATTCTTTTTTTAGAGGATTATAGTTTAATATGTTCTGGGATGGATGAAAAAAAATTTTCTCTCAGTCTCTCTTCCACCTCTGTCTCTTTCTACTTTCCTTATTTAGACTTGTCAAAGCTGGTTCTAGGAAATGAGGAGGAAGAGGAAGACCAGTCCCTCTATGTGGCCTGTATAGAATTGATGACATCAAAGGTTTTGTTTTGTTTTTTTTCTTTTGACACAGAGTCTCACTCTGTTGCCCAGGCTAGAGTGATGTGGCGTCAGCCTATCTCACAGCAACCTCAAACTCCTGGGCTCAAGCGATCCTCCTGCCTCAGCCTTCCCAATACCTGGCAATACAGGCATGTGCCACCATGCCCAGCTAATTGAATAAAATTTCTATATATTTTTAGTTGGCCAATTAATTTCTTTCTATTTATAGTAGAGACGGGGTCTTGCTCTTGCTCAGGCTGGTTTCAAACTCCTGACCTCGAGTGATCCACCCTCCTCAGCCTCCCAGAGTGCTAGGATTATAGGCGTGAGCCACTGCGCCCGGCCTGTAATTTCTTTTTATATTAATGTATATATGTTTAAAAATTTTTCCAATGTGGTGGTGCTGGGGTGGGGGGTGATGACTTACCAATGAATACATTCACCAGAGTTATGATAATTGCTACTGGAATCCCAGTCAATAAAATGTAGAATCTCTGTTAAGATAAAAAATAAAATTTTTTTTTCATGTCCATTTCCTAACTCTCTACACCCTCAAATCATCCTCATAATGTAATTTCCTTATATTTCTTATAAAATAAATTTGTGAAATTGGGGATACAGTGTCAAATTATTGATTTGTTATTTTATTTTGTTCTAGTTTTTAGATGCCTATATTTAACACCAAAAATTAAAGAAAAAAGTAAGGACTAATTGTATAATATAATATGTATTTAAGTGACTTTTTAGTTAAAACAATGTAATGTAAGTTAGAAAACATTATATTAAAAACAAAGTTGTAAAAACATTAGGGTGATCTCTACCACTGAACAGGGTTTGAGTCGGTGATAAAAAGAAAAGCAGGAGCTCAGCCAACTGGATGTATTGGGGATGTAGTGAAGGATGAAGAAGGGCATTAAACACAATGGGAAGGCAAGAAGGTCTCACGGGTAGCCACTACTCAAATGATGAGTCAGAGCTTTATAAACATGGGCAGAGAGTCTCAACATTTTTCCATTTTCAAAGCCTCTACTCTGTACTTATAGAACCTTGAGATATAAATATGCAGTCAGTATCCCCAGCAGTACCCAACCTTTTTGGCACCAAGGACCAGTTTTATAGAAAACAATTTTTCTTTTCTTTTCTTTTTTTTTAAGAGTCTCATTCTGTTGCCCGGACTAGAGTGCCATGGTGTCAGCCTAGCTCACAGCAACCTCAAACTCCTAGGTTCAGCGATCCTCCTGCCTCAGCCTTCCCAATACCTGGGACTACAGGCATGTGCCACCATGCCTGGCTTATTTTTTATTATATATATTTTTAGATATATTTTTTCTTGTTGTCCAGCTAATTTCTTTCTATTTTTTTTTTAGTAGAGATGGGGTCTCACTCTTGCTCAGGCTGGTCTCGAACTCCTGAGCTCAAACCATCTGCCGCCTCAGCCTCCCAGAGTGCTAGGCATGCACTACCACGTCTGGCTGGAAAACACTTTTTCAATGGACAGGGGTGTGGGTGGGAGATCTCAGGTTTAGAGCAGCTGTAAATACAGATGAAGCTTCTTCATTCACTTGCCCGTCTGTGCAGCTACTCCCCAAGTTTCACAGAGGGCAATTTTTCCACAGACGGGGGTGAAGGGGTGGCCAGCAGTGAAGCTCCGCACTCTGGGGCCCAGACCAGGGGCTGGGGACTGCAGCCCTAAATAAGCAATACTATATTACTGCTAAATTAAGATTGTACTATGGGTCCATGTCAGTCTCTGAATCTATATTCCTGAACAACATACACATAAAAATCAAAGCCCAAAATAATGTAGCTCCTTTATTAACCCTTTGCACTCAGATGTTGAGTGTGACTCGACACGGTCAGGATCGGTAGCAGCAAGAGAAAAAAACCAAGAGAGTGCAAAGGGTTAAAGAAGTCTTTCAACAAGTTCTTTGGTAATTTAAAGAATATTTTAGTAACAGATAATCTTCTCCACGTGAATCAATTTTCAAAGTTTTGTAATTTGCAGATTTTTTTTTACTCTTAAAGCATAAAATAGAGGTTACACTGAAAACCCCTATAGTTAGTCCTGAGAAGAAAGGAATGGCTCAAGTTTTAATTCCAATTAATGTCAATCTTTTTTTTGAAGAAGGAAAGGTCCATTAACTTAGGAGATTGAGTAACAAATCAGACTTTACTACACAATCTCTATCTTTGGAGGAAAGAGATATAAATTTATACAACAAAATCTTTTATAAAATAAAAGATGTTTTCTAAAGAGGCAAAAAATATTTTCCTATTTGTGTGCAAAAGTTTAATTAAACAAACATTTTTTAACTCACCAATAACCTCAAAAAACGCTTGTCGTAGTATGTAGAAGGTTTGATGACAAACAGTCTTTTCCCATGGTCTCCACTGTGTCGAACAGGAGCTGGAAATATTAAATTACCCTGTGTTATACAAGGTTTATATGGGTATACTGTTATATTCTGAGATAAAATCAGATTATAAGAAAATATACATGCATAGATGTTTAATATGTGCTAAGGTTAAAAAATGCTCTTTTATTTGAGTACTAAGGCAAGGGTAGATAAGATATCTTTAAACAAAGATTGATGTACTGTTCTAAACTATAGTTCTCTTTGTTTTAATTCAATGTTAAAGAAATATCTAGGGCAGGTGTAGTGGCTCACACCTGAAATCCTAGCACTTTGGGAGGCTGAGGCAGGATTGCTTGAGGCCAGCAGTTTGAAACCAGCCTGGGCAACTTATTGAGACTTCTTCTGTACAAAAATAGAAAAATTAGTGGGCTGTGGTGGCACACTCCTGTAGTCCTCGCTAATCAGGGAGCTAAGCCAGGAGGAATGCTTGAGTTTGAGGCTGTAGCAAGCTATGATTATATCACTGCACTCTAGCCCAGGGACACAGTGAGACCTGGCCTCAAAGAAAAAAAAAAGAAAGAAAGAAGTATGTAAACAATGCTTTCAACTTGTTTCAATAGAAGGTAGGACTGCTAATGCTGCATAAGAAATTAAATCATGCCATTTCATATGATATATTATCAATATACATTAGAGAACTGCTGCAAAATAGATGGAAAGGACCAGAAGTATTTATTCAACAAATCACCAGCAGGAGTTTGAACTTGTTACAAAACTATACACTCTAAAATATCTTAATAAAATCCCTTTGTAAGCCATTTCTGATCAAAAATATCCTCTTCAGCCCGGGCGCAGTGGCTCACGCCTGTAATCCTAGCACTCTGGGAGGCCGAGATGGGAGGTTCACTCAAGGTCAGGAGTTTGAGACCAGCTTGAGCAAGAACAAGACCCCAACTCTACTAAAAATATAAAGAAATTAATTGGCCAACTAAAAATATATAAAAAATTAGCCGAGCATTGTGGTGCATGCCTGTAGTCCTAGCTACCCAGGGGACTGAGGCAGTAGGATTGCATGGGCCCAGGAGTTTGAGGTTGCTGTGAGCTACGCTGATGCCACAGCACTCTACCCCAGGCAACAGAGACTCTGTATCAAAAAAAAAAAAGAATATCCTTTTCAAATCCTCTTTCCAGTAGAATTTAATCAAGCCTTGCTAGAGATAAACTGACGCAAAATTTCACTCCTGGATCCTCTTCATATACTACTCCCTTTCCTGAGAGGTTTGGAAGGATCACTATAGGCATTCTAAGCCCTTTCCACTCAGAGCAGGAAAGGATCTAGCTGCCACTGAGAGACTTTAGGTTACTATGTTTCTGCTGCATAACTGCAGATATTTTGCATGTGAGTCACCATGAAATGAAAAACTTTAATTTCCCATTAAAGAAATTCCAGTTATAATAGATGTCAAAAAGATCTGTATCCTTTGTTCGTGTTTAATGTCTACAGTGCCCTCCCCTCTCCTGAAATCTATACTTTAGGCCCAGATGACATCTTATCCTCCAAGAAGCCAACATTCTTTCCAAACAGATGAGATCTCTCCTACCTTTGAATTTCTATACATTCTAGTGATGTGTATACTTGCTTTCACTGTTGCCACCTTTAAGCATAAATGTCTTGAAGGCAGGAATGGTCTTCTTAATTTTACTAAAACCTGCAGCAGCTTGCAATAAATTTAGGAGGTTAATTCACAACAGAAGTAGAAGCTGGCATGAATTTACTAAGTATAATTCACATTACTAAGGTTTCTAAAACAACAAGATTAAGAGAATTTAACAAGGTAAGTGTGGATTTCAAGAAATCATTTGAAAGATACCATAACCAAATTTTTTGTGGGCTACACGAAGAAAATGGGCTATATGACAATACAAAACACTCATTAATTCAATAAATATTAATATTTAAGTGCCCACTATGTGCAGATCCTATGGTAATCCTATGATCTAAGGATATGGATCCTGCTGGGAAAAATAGACACTACACAAATAATTACAAATCTATAAGGGTAACAAAGGAAAGAAACCAGATGCAGTATTAGAAAAGAACAGGCTCAGTCAGCACAGTGGTGTATACCTATAGTCCCAGCTACCTGAGAAGCTGAGGTGGAAGGATAGCTTAAGCCCAGGAGTTCAAGGCCAGCCTGAGCAACATAAAGAGACCCCCATCTCTTAAATCAATAAAAATAAAAACAGAAAAGAACAGGTCCAAAAGGAAAGTTCCTATTAGAAAAGATGATGGGGGTAGAGGTGGAAGGGGCATTATGAGCTGAAAGAATGTGCAAGTTAGATGAATTCGTAATGGATAATTGATTGATTGGTTGATTATACCCAAAAGGTGCTGATTAATTAATGGAGTAACCTGCCGAAGGGATCTCTGACCTGCAGCATCACCACTTTTATGAATGGTTTAGATGAGGTGGAGACAGCATTCCTGATTTATTGAGTCTTGGAAGCATACAGCTACTACACAAGAGTGGCTAAAACACTGACAATGAAATGGGATCCCAAAAGAGTCTTCATATACATTTACAAAAGGCTGAATCTAAAAGAATTAAACATAATAAGAGAAAAGTCCTGCCTAGACCCCTCCCCCCAATTTAATTGCTTGTAAAAAAGCCAAAGGCCAATTCAATCTTAATCTGATGTATTAGAAGTACAGGGTCAAAACAGGATGATATTCCCTGCCCTCCATCCCCTGACTATGCCTGCAGAAGTGTGACTATTCGAGAGCACACCCTTTCAGAGGGAAAATATGTAGCATGCCCCAGCTTAAGCAACCAGATGGCAAACAATATATTACATAGTAATACTGAAAGAACAGAAGCTGATTGGCCTATAATAAAAGAAGTCTAAGTGGAGACCAGATAAATGTCTTTAAATAGCTGAAGAGTGGTCCCATGACAAAGGGCTTACACTATTCCATGTGGGCCTGGAGGGAAGAACCAGGATCAATGTGTAAAAGAGTGATTTTCAGCTTAATGCAAGAAATTCTATCAATTTTAGTGGCTGAAAATAAAATCAGACTGCCTCACCAATTCCCCATTACAGAGTTCAAGTATCAATAACAGGATGTAATAAGGACTAGGATAATATTTGAGGTTAGTCTAGAGGATTTCTAAGGTTGTTCCCCTCAGAGATCCAAATTTATAACCTCTCTTAGAATAAAAAAGCATACCTTTCCAACTCATCTCTCTCAAAGGTTTCCTTCCAATTCCAGGACTGCTTTCCCACTTTTTGCACTTACTTTCCCCTATGCCTGGAATGCTTTTCTATAGACTCTGTGAATGGCTGCCTCCACATCTCATCCCTTCAGGGCTAAGATCAAATGACACCTCCTTGGAGAAGTCTTCTCTGACTATCCTAGCCAAAGTTGGCCTCCCACCATTCCCCTTAATACCATTTGGTTATTCCCTTCAGAGCAAGGAGCACTAAACCCTATTTACTTGGTTAAATGCCATCAGGTCAGGGACTGTCTTATTCAGCATTGCAACCCCAGTACCCTTTCTGTCTACACATGGTAGGCGCAGGCACTGTAAATACTGTTGAAGCTACATTTCTTAAATAAATTAAATGTTGGTCGAGGATCTTTTCTTAGTCCCTGAAAGCATATTACATTTACTCAGAAGAGATAGTATACTTGCTAACTTTCCCCTTCAATCAGACACGGGGTGGGGAGAAGGTGGTTAAACTATGTACAGTTTTAGGGAACACTGATTACAAATTACACCCTTGTTGGGCACAGTGGCTCACGCTTGTAATTCTAGCACTCTGGGAAGCCGAGGCAGGAGAACAGCTTGAGGTCAGGAGTTTGAGACCAGCCTGAGTAAGAGTAAGGAGAAAATTAGCCACACGTGGTCTGCATGCCTATAGTCCCAGCTAATTAGGAGGCTGAGGCAGGGGGATTGCTTGAGCCTAGGAATTTAAGGTTATAGTGAGCTATGATGATGCCACTGTTGCCTGGGCAACAAAATGAGACCCTGTCTCAAAAACAAAAGAACAAAAAAATACTATTAATAGATATGAAAAATGTAACAAACACAAATAATTATGGAAGAAAGCCTGGTCTAGTTGCATTCAAGTAACACTAATGCAGTTAGTAATGTGAACTGCTTGGTCTTTCTTAATACATAATAACCCAATTGTTAAACAATTATTCATGTCATTAAATGTGCAAGATAATCATTACTACTATTAACTGTTCTTAAGTATATTTCATAGACTTAACTCTTTTCAAATGTTCTGAGCCTTCAGGATTTGTTGTTGACACAGTAGGATCTTCCGTTTACAATCTAAAAATATTAGGGTGAACACTGCTTACAACCAAGTGACAGCCACGATTTCTGAACTTAGCTCGCCCTGCCTCCCAAAATAGGCATCTTTCCACTACTCTCTAAAGCCTAGAATTTCTCATTAGGTATTCATAATTACATAGGCTTAAGGCTTCAAGAACCAACTTTTAAAAATGCAAACAGCACAGGGAAAGTCATTAAATCTTTGACAATTATGATTTTCGTGAGTATTTCATAAAATACTGGAGGCACTTTTTATGCATCACAGACAACTAAAAATTGGTCATTTTCTTTCCCTCATTCCCAGTTAAAGAGACCACCATCTCAATTACCCTGGCTAAAAATCTGTCATCTTCCTTGCACCACCCCTCATTCATCATTTGTCAAGGTCCCTTGATTCTAAGTTTCAACTCTCCATTTCTTTCCATGCCTTCTCTACCTTATTGTCCTAAGCAATCAACATCCCCTATAAGCCATCCGATACTCAGAAGCATCTTCCTAAAACACACTACTGATATTGCTCTTCTGCTAAAATACTTTCTGTTGCCTATAAAATAAAGTGAAGATACTTTGGCTTTGTATTCAGTCCCTCTGCTCCCCCAATTAGGTCCCAACCTTTTTGTTTTTGCCTTCTTTCCCAACATCTACCTATCCCAAGAGCCACATGTCTAATCAGAATATTCATCCTTTACTTTTCTGCCAGTTTGACCTGTTAAAACTATCCCCACAATTCAGTTAAAACACCACATATTCCATGTCTGAATAAACTCCACAGTACTTTGTTTCTATATCCATTTTAATACTCTTCTTTGTTTAAACCATAATTTGTGCATATCAGTTTCCAACTGTAAATTAAAGCTACTTGCAGCCAAGGAAGAACTTAAGCTCACCTCTAGAATTCCTTGATATTTGATATTTAATAAATAATAGACTGGCTTTATGTACTTATGTTCTGAGAAAGGTTTTCACAAAGGGTGAAGATAGCATGACAGCACTAGATGCTTTAAGAAAGATGTAGCCACAGGGCCCTGCAGAAGGCAGTGCTAGGACTCCAAGGCATAGGTAACAAAAGAAAAAACACACAAATTGAACTTCACAAAATTTTAAAAATTTTGTGCATCAAAGGACACTATCAATAGAGTAAAAAGGCAACCACAGAGTGGGATAAAATTTGGCAAATCATCTACCTGATATGGGATTGATATCCAGAATACACAGGAAACTTCTAAAACTCAAGAACAACAACAAAAAATTTAAAAATAGGCAAAAAAAAAAAAAATGAAGACATTTTCCTAGAGATATACAAATGGTCAAGAGGCACATGAAAAGATGTTCTAATCTTTCTCTAATCTAATCATCAGGGAAACACAAATCAAAGCTACAATGAGATACTACCATACATCCTATTACTAAAAAAACAGAAAATTTCCTTGCCTTATCTTCCTAAAAAACAAACAAAAAAAGCAAAACAAAAAACACACGAAACAAAAATGAGAAAGTAACAAGTGTTGGGAAGAATGTGGAGGAATTAGAACCTTTATCACAGTTGGTGGGGATGTAAAATGGTACAGCTGCTGTGGAAAATACTAATAACATGGTAGTTCCTTTAAAAATAGAATTACCATATGATCCATCAACTCTACTTCTGGGTACATACCCAGAAGAAATGAAAGTACGGTCTCAAAAGAGATATTTGTACACCCATGTTCACAGCAGCATTATTCACAATATAGTAAGTCCTCACTTAACATTATGGATCTTAGAAACTACAACTTTAAGTGAAACTTCCTACAGTAGATCCTGGAATAACATTGTTTCCTTCTGTTATTACTTCCTTTCACTTAAAGATTTCCAACAGCCAACCACGTTAGGCGAGGATTTACAGTACCAGTGTCCACTGACAGGCAAATGGATAAGCAAAATATGGCATAAACATACAATTGACAATTCAGCTTTAAAAAGGAATTTCTGACATATGCTACAGCATGAATGAACTTTGAGTATATTATGCTAAGTGATAAAAAAGACACAGTATGATTCCACTGATATGATGTATTTAGAGTAATCAAAATCATAGTGACAGACAGTAGAATGGTGGTTGCAACGGCTGAGCAGAGGGAATGGGGAGTTAGTGTTTAATGAGTGCAGAGTTTCAGTTTTACAAGAGTTATGAAAAGAGTTATAGATATGGAAGGTGGTGATGGTTGTACCACATTATGAACGTATTTAATACCATTGAACTGTGCACCTGAAAATGGTTAAGATGGTAAACTTTATGTTATGTATACTTTACCACAATTTTTTTTAAAAGGTCAATGCCAGGTGCTATAGATTTTTCCCACTCACTCTTCACAACTACCTTAATTAGGTAGGTTAAAATTCTCATTTTAAAGAGGAGGAAGGGCAGGTTACAAGCAGTTAAGTGCCTTCCACTTTAGCTTCTAAAACGTGATGACCCAAGATCACAGAGTTTCTAAATTCTGGAGCTAGGATTTGAACCTAGGCAGTCTAGCTCCACAGAAAACAAGACAAGGTTCCCTACTATAGTGTAGTTTTTATTCTTGTAGGGACAGATATAAACAATAATACAAGAGATTAAAACCTTTCATATCACAGTGACAGATGCCAAATATCTTTGAAAGCAGGTACACAGCTGAAAACACAGTAAACTTTAGTATAGATAGCTATTAGATCCTTCCCTGCTCCCACTAGAAAGGGTGTAGACTCCCTGTAATGATTCTTCCAGAACTCCAAGGGCAATAGCGTAGAAAGAAGAACTGGAGGTGAAATTTTACCTCAGTTTATCTCCAGCTAGACTTGATTAAATATTACCTGGAGGAGTATTTGAATTTGAAAATTTGAGGATATCTGTGATCAGAAATGGCTTATCAAAGTATTTTAACAAGTAATGTTAGCACATGTTGTTTTGTAACAAGTTCAAATTCCTGCTCAAAATTTGGTGAATACTACTGATCCTTTCCATCATGTTTCCAGCAAGTTCCTACGTATATTACCTCATCATGTGAAGGGGCATAATTCAAATTAAATTGGGAAAAGAGAAGAGAGTAAAATAAGATATTTTGAGTTTGGAGACAATCTTTTTGGCTTTAAGGTAAAAGTTTTACTTCACCTTTCCCTACTTGGATTGCTTACAGTGTATCTTTGATCAAGAAAATTAAATTTAGTAATACTTTAAAGCCTTAGAACGGTTCCTGACACAAAACACATACTCCATAAATTTTGGCTACCATTATTATTAATCTTGTACAATGGTGCATTATTTTTGTAATAATTGAGTCTGTTTCATCTGTAAAATGGGGACAACAACAATTGTGTTTACTTTGCAGAATCTTTGCAAGAATAAAGCAGACAACAACAAGCACTTGATGCTTTGCTATTATGATTATTTGTACCCCTACAATGCAATTCACAGCCCCCAAGACTAGGACTGCATTATGACTTTCCTGGGCTTTTGCCTTCATGGGCCTTTTCCTAATTTATTAAAAATGATATTTTATTATTGCGGTGGTATAAAACGATACAGTCCAGGCTGTATTCATTATCACATAATCATTAACACTACAGTCTTTCAAAAAAATAAATTTAAATTAAAACATTTTCTTGGACCCCTAAAACCACCATGGGCTCCATACACACGGTACCTACTGTACCTAATGAATAAATTGGACCTGAGCTTCTCTATCTGTCCACATAATACTTAGCATCAGCGGATTCCAGCAAGGTCACCCTGAAGAGTCCTCTCAGGTCTCATCCCGCACCGCCCCCGCCTACGCGCACTTTCTCAAGGCCAGCACCCACCGACAGCCTTCGGAAAGCCACGGGTGAGGAAGCCCCCGAATCCGAGTCTAGCGACAAGGCGGCGGCCCGACAAAGCTGCCACCGAAGCGACCGAAACCCGCCGCAGCAAACTCATGGCCGCCATGGCTGCGTCGAGCAACAGGAAAAAACGCGAGAGGATAACGGGAGCTGAGAGAGCCAATTTACCAATAAGGGTGAAGGCGGAAGGTGGCCATGTTAAGTGAGGGCAAGGGCCTCGTTCTGTGCTCTTATGTGTCTGCGTCGGACGCCGGAAGTGACGCCATTGTTGGAGGAACCACGATTTGGTTAGTTATGTGAAAAAATGGCTGCAGCCAGTTTGGCTGTTTGTAGAAGAGTCACAGCAGTCCTGAAGGCGTCCAGATCGTTAGTAACTCTTCCGGTCCCTGCCAGCACAGGGTAAGTGATGTATGGAATAGGTTTGTCCACCTTCCAGCTTTGGATCTTGTTTTTCTGCCGAGATGCCGAGAACAGGTTAGGGATGGAAAGGCCGCCTGGATGGCAGAGCCGGAACCCACCTATGTGTGAGGAGTGAGTGACCTTGGAGACGTTGTCCACCTTCGATATTCACGTTCCTTCTCAAACATTTTGTTGTTCTCTTCTCTGGACCAGACAATAGATGGGATTTGTAGATGACCAGCATTTGTCGAAGTAAACCTGGAGGTACAGAAGCATGCCTTTGGGCTGGGTGAAATGGGAAAAACTTTACCCAGCTGCATGGAACTGCAGTCTGTGTCAGGTTTGGTTGGATAAAAAAGAAGGAGCCTTTGTATTTCCAGGATCTGTCACAAAGAGATTGTTCAGTAAATTTTGAATAAATTATGAAAGTAGCCAAATGGACAGCAAGTAACCCTGCAAGTATGAAAAAGGAGCACCTTAGAAACAGTGTTCATTATTTGGGAAGACAACTTGTCTTCTGGACAGACTGATCGTTTTTGACTGTAGGATGTGTGGTTTCCTACCCTTTATTGGAAGTTGTTGAAAGTGAGTTGAATTTTGTAAACAGTAGGGTATGTCAGATTTTTTTATAGGAAGTAAAAATGCATTCAGGTATCTACTCTTGAATGCATAAGCAATTATTGAGCATCTATTATATGCCAGTGTATTATTACTTCTAACCTCAAAGATAAACACTCTTTTCATTTCACAGAGGCTCAGATGTTATAACTTGACCAAGATGGCAAGAACAAGGACATTATCTTAATAACCACAATACAATGATCACACTCAGGATATTTAGTATTGATACAATACTATAATTATACTGCTATTATCTAGCATACATTCCAAATTTAAAAGTCCTCAGTTGTCCTGGTAATTTATTTTTCTTGTTGATTCAGGATCCAGTGAAGGATCATTTATTGAATTAGTTGCCATGTTTCTTTAGTATCTTTTAGTCTAGAACAGTGTCTTTTTTTCCTCTTTCACGATGTTGACATTTTTGTTAAGATGAGCTTTTTAAGAATCTCTCTCCATTTTGGATTTGTCTGATTATTTCCTCATGGTTAGATTCAGCTTAAATATTTCTGTTAGGAATACAACACTTGTGGTACACTTCACTATTTTGTTTTAAGTCATTTCTCCAGGTCATTAAATAATTTTTAAGACATAATTTTTAAATTACTGCATAATAATTTACGATATAGATATATATAATTTTAACCATTTCCCAGTTGCCCATAATTATCAACCTTTTGATATCTTATATAATGTTTTAGTAAACATCTTACTTTTCTAATTAAAAAAAATTTTTTTTAGAGACAGGGTCTCATTCTGTCACCCAGGCTGGAGTGTATTGACCTGATAATAGCTCAAGACAGCCTTGAACTCCTGTTCAAGTGATCCTACTGACTCAGCCTCCCAAGTAGCTGGGACCACTACCTGAGTAGCTTGCACCACCAAACCTGACTAATTATTTTATGTTTTGTAGAGACATGGTCTTGCTGTCTTACCCAGGCCAGTCTCAAACTCCTTTTCCTCAAGTGATCCTCTCACCTTGGACTCCTAAAGGGCTGGGATTACAGTTGTGAGCCTGGCCAACATCGCAATTTATAAATTCCCATCTATGATAATTTCTTTACTTGAAATTTCTAGATGTGGAATTACCGAGTTAAAGGAGGAAGCATTTTGGGCCCCTGACACATGTTGCAAAATTGACCATTAGAATATTTTTACCTTAAAATATAATTGTATAAATATATTACTTCTGAAATTATAGGATAGTAACTTCTATAATACAATATTAAAAATACATTCTAAAGCATTTTTAAAAGTTTATTGCTTGTGCAGAAACTCTGAGTAGGCTTTTTTAACATTATTGGTGAGGAAATGATTCTGTTTATTACTTTTAAAATCCAAATATTATGAAACTTTAAGCACTTGTTTATATGCATTCAGTTGCAGGCTTTCTCTTAGTTTGTTTCCTAAGAATATACCAGATGTCACATCCTTTCACCAGTGCAAATTATTTCATACTACATCATCAAGAAAAGGACTGGAAGAATTTTTTGATGACCCAAAGAATTGGGGAGAAGAAAAAGTAAAATCTGGTGAGATATTTGGACTCGTCAATATTAAATGTATTTAGTGAACCCTCCATTATTCTAGGATTATTTATCCAATTTAGGAACTATTTGGGTGTTTACTTTTTTGATTTCCTTTGGTACTGTCTACTAGCGAAAATTGAAAGGACAGTGTAATAGTAGAGTTAATTGTTCCTTGGCAGATTGGCAAAAGGTTTAGAAGAGGAGTAGGTTGAAATGATTAATTAAGGTGAAGTTTAGGGTTTATTTTAGATTTCATTTTTAGTGATAATTAAAATTATAATGACATAATGTTTTCTCATTAGGGTGTGAAATGCATTCTGTACTAATGCTAACATTTTTGAATGCTATTTGTTACTAATATTTTCATATGTGTTAATTCAATTTAGTCCTAATTATATGTTACATTATATAATATAATAAAGTTATTAAATATCTTATAGATGAGAAAACAGGTTTAGAGTGGTTAAGTAATTTGCCAAGGGGATATGACTAGAAACATGATTTCAGGTTATGAATTATCATTTTAATAGGAGCATCATGGACCTGTCAGCAATTAAGGAACAAAAGTAATGAAGATTTACATAAACTTTGGTAAGTATACAAAGTACATTAACATCATGTTTGAAACAGTTACAGTTTTACAACCAGGTAAAAACTTTATATCTATCTGATATAAGAAATTGGGTAAAGTGATTTGTCTTATAGTACTGTGGATAATATATAAGATCATGAGAAATTTTATAAATATGACAGTTTAGATTGCATTAAAACAAATATATCACAGTTCTCAAGTACTTGGCAGTCTAGAAATTTTACTATAATGGCTACTGGTCATATTAACACCTTTATACTAGCAATTTCAGTAAACAACTAAATGAAATGGGGAATAGTTGGTCATATTTATATTTCTCTCCCTTTTCTTACCTTTCTTATGGTCTGTAATCTTTAGCTTATTTACTTTGGGGGTGTGTTGGAGGGTACATTTAATTGAGAATTTAGGTATTTTTTTTGGCAGGTTCTCCGGATGAATTAGAGAGGGCTGAAAAGATTTAAGACAGGATTGCATTTTTAATGCATTTTTAGCCTGAAGATGTGGTTTCTATGGACTGTACTTATTTTGATTGATTGATTGAGACAGAATCTCTCTCTCTTGCCCAGGCTGGAGTGCCGTGGCTTCAGCCTAGCTGACAGCAACCTCAAACTCCTAGGCTCAAGTGATCCTCTTGCCCCAGCGTCCTGAGTAGCTGGGACTACAGGTGCTTGCCACCACGCCTGCATAATTTTTTGTTTCTATTTTTAGTTGCCCAGCTAATTTTTTTTTTTTTTTTAGTAGAGATGGCATCTCGCTCTTGCTCAGGCTGGTCTCGAGCTCCTAACTTCAAGTGATCCTCCTGCCTCAGCTTCCCAGAGTGCTAGGATTATGGGCATGAGGCACCATACCTAGCCTGGACTGTACTTATTTTTTAAATTGGCAAATTTCACATATAAAATAAGGCTTTCTGGCCTCTCTTGAGTAATCAGACCTGTGATCTGGCAACACTGGCCTTGCATTGTTACATGGCAACAACTGGCTGGTCTTTATGGCAACTGCTCCTTCTAAGTGAAGCAACGTACACTACTTCTCCTACCTGCCCTGTTGTTCTTTCACCACTTCATTCATAACTGTTATCTGCCTAGGCACTCTAGTAGTAGGCATTTACATTTTTATCCCTTGATTTAAAGGGTTATCTTTCATGGCAGATTATAGAATTATAAAGTGTTTGTAAAAAACACTAATATTATATTTGTTCATTTTAGAAAAATAAGTTATATTAAAGCACTGTTACTGTGAGTTATTAGTAAAAGGATAGTTAGGGCTATTTCAGCATTGATCATGGCTACAACTAAATAATATTCTGCCTCTCCTTCCCCTAAAATTGTCTTCTTCGTAGTATAAAATACCCCAATTCCTTTGTCTCATTTTCAGGACCCTCTACATTTATTTCCTTTCTCTTCTGATTCTCAAGCAGATGTATGCAGACATCTTATCGTCACTTTCGCTCTGCTGCTTCAGTACCTTTGGTTGCTTTGCTCTCCCTTTCATCCTAACAAATCCCGCCTCCCCTGTTAAGCTTTCCCTACATCTTAGCTAGAAGAGATGTCTCCTCTCTCCCACTTAATTCTTTTGGTACTTATCTGTCCCATGCAATGTGGTACGTCATGTTATAGTTTCAGAAGTGAAAATAGAATGGATTTTGCACACACACGGTTCAGGATTTGTTTCTTGTATTAGCTGTGTGACCGGGAATACCTTACTTCTCTCTGCCTTAGTTTCTTTATTTAGAAAGTGGAAATAATACCAACTTCAAAAGATTGTTGTGAGAATTAAATGAAGTAATGTATATAAAGTGCTAAGCACACTGCCTGGCATATAACAGGTCGTCAGTAAATATTATTTATCTTCATCTTTCTCCTCTCTCCACTTGGAATGTAAGGACTATGTATTCCTCTTTGTAACTCTCCTAGCACTTAATACAGTATGTGGCACATGGAAAGTTTATTGAACAAATGGATAAGCAAAGACACCATTCTGTATAAAAGATTATTCTTTG